ACACACACACACACACACACACACACACACACACACACACACACACAGAGGGAGTCAAAGCTGGGCACTGACAACATTTCTCCAAAATAAATCCACAGATGTCATTTAGCCTAAAATCCTTCAAACGTTATTTTAATTCTTCCTTCTTGGACCTGCTGCAGTCAGACCACATGGCTCTACATTGGCAACCGTTGAACGAGAAAACAACTCACTGACTCGTGTCAAGTGTGTAAGATTTCGTGAAATCTAGTGGTGAGTTTCAGATTGAGATTAACATCATATTAGTTCACTCATGACTAAATAAATGCTTTAAAAAACATATATGACTTTAAAAACAACTTCAGAAGATGGTTTGAAGTTATTTCAAACCATCTAAATACACATACTGATGTGTATTTAGGTGCTCTGTCCCTCAAATAAATTAATAAATAAATCATAGACATTTTGTGAGTTTATTTGTTCATTTCTCAGTCGTAGCGGATTCACTGCTCGCGCGCAATGCATCCTGGTACAAGTAGGCTGTAAAGTGCCATGAAGGGTGGGTCTGTAGCAGGAGAGATCAGCTTTCTCAGTCCGTGCAGCACGCACTGGAGAATCTGTCTTCAGTGGACTACATTTACCATCTGCACTGATTGGACATAACATCAAATGGTTGTGAATTCTCCCTTTAATGTTAACAGGATGATTAATGCATTATAGCCTTTAGTCTAACCTGTAGACCTCAGTGTATAGTTTCAATCATGAACGTGTTTCGATGCTAAACCAAAGTGATTCTAACCAACCTGGGTTTCCCGTTTTCTCCCGTATCTTCGTCTTCAGCTGCAGCACCGTGAAGCCCTCATACTCTGAGTCACGCAGCTCGATCTCCGTGATAAGTTTATCACCCGCGTCTTTAATGAAGAGCTTTCTAGTCGCTTCTGTGGTATTAGCCGCTCCCATGATCTTATCTTTCAGCAGAATAAAACATGGAAGCCAGTGAGCTAAAGAATACTTTCACTTTCACTTTTAAAATTAAAGTGGTATACACCAGCCTTAACCTGGAAACATGTTCTATCTTACAAACCTCACATACAGCACTGATTATTATTACTCACTCCTTTCCACATGTTTTTAAATGTCTTTGATTGTATTTATGTAAAGGGACTTTAAATACAAGTCACATTGAAGTGTGAATTTACAGTGAAATGCTAGAATACTAGAACTATTTTTAACTGTGATCTTTGAAACATGCAACTCAGTAGGCAGTATGTTACATTTGAAATATACTAAAATAATAAATTTGACTTTTTCACCATTCATATTGGTTAACTCTTCAAAAACGTTAAATTCATAAAAATATGGGTTCAAAGTCATCTGCACATTTATCTCTGATTTTATCACTGATTTAGAATGGATGTCCATGTGTAAAATTATAAAACTTATTTTTTGTATATATTTTGTATGTTTATGAAGGATCCAATTTACAGTATTTTACAATATTATTAATCCCCAAATAACAGTGAACAATGACAAGTTGACAGTAATAGTAGTCTATCAAACAACAAAAACATTTATTTTAAAATATTTATTTAAATGTTAGAATTAGGATGATACTTTGACCTACATAAATAATGACTGACGTGTGTAAGATTCCACATTCCACATTCTTCTCTTCTGATCCTTGGTTTTAAAGGATAGTTCCACACAAAAGGAGCTGGAGCCCTGAGGTGCAAAACAAAACACACTCAGAAAACACACAAAGTAGGTTTAGTGGAAAAGCACAATCATTTGCAGAGGTTTCGGGCGGGACACTCAGTTATAAACGCCCTTACAAGTGCAAAAAATCATAATCCTTATAAACCCACTGACATAAGTCGATGTTTATCCAAATACTGCAAGTGCATGTAGCTTCCTAAAACAATGAAATGGTGACATTTATCCATCTGAAATCAAAACAAAACACCACTGACCACAGTCACATATAAGCTATTCCAAGTGACAATTCACGTATCACTTATCCGTATTCATTCTTCACCTCCATGGCTTTTTTAAAAATGTGTCCTTGCTCTCTGCAGCCTTTCTTCTCGCTCTGCCACTTGCAGCTATTTCTCCCCTTGTCACAGTCTGTGTGGTCGCCAGTCTGCAGCTGCCGTCCGCCGTCACAACATGCTGCATTTTCTCCTTGTCTCTCTTTGGACTGATTGATTTTAGGCATTTGTTCGATGAAACGGGGGCCCAACGGAGCCCAACGGGTTCGTGCATGCTACATAGCTGCTGCAAGTCTCTTGTCGGGTATGAAGGTGACTTTAGATCAGAATCACACACATTCACACTGACACACGCCTCTCTTTTCTGTTTAGCTCTATTTCCTTTTACCTCTGCTAGTGTCTCCCTTTTGTTTTTAAAAACGTCATCTTCTGCAGGTTTGACTCTATTTCTTGTCAGGCTACTATCATTACCATCTTTTTGTAGCTTTGCAAAATGTGACTCTTGTGTTTGCCCACGTGGCCCGTAGCCCTCTCCATCTGCTCCAGTGCATGTTTGAAGTAACATCTCTTTGTGCGGCCTCACGCATGCTGCTCTCGGGTCTCGCTGTTCGTTCGGTTCCCAAGAAAAGTTTGCTTATTTCTTCCAAACCGTATCGTCATGGCTCTTCTTTAATTTGTCGACATTCGAGCGCTTCAAGTTTCCCCCTCCGTTGCAGCTTTCATCCTTCAGTAGATCCGGTACGACGGCCTCTCCTCTCTCCGTCTCGTCACGTCTTCCTTCAGCATCAACATCTGCATGTGTGCAGAGAGACTGCTGGTTGCCTTCATCAGGTTTTTCAGTATGTCTGATAACTTTAAAGGTAAAAATGGAAGGTTAATAATAATGTATTTATATACCACCTTTCATACAGTTTCATCTTCTTCCCCTTAAGATGCTAACTGACTTCATGCGCATGCTAACTAACTCACCCTTCCTGTACATGAGGAGGTAAGCTGTACGAGACCTCAAAGAGTTATTTCCAGCCCCAAACAGCGGTGGTATGACCTGTAGAATTGAAAATAATCACAGTAAATGTTAAACTTTGCATGGTTGAACTGTGTGAGGATTTGTGAAAGTGGACTGCATGTAGAAAAATGAGCCTCCTTACCCGGTTAACAATGTCGTCATTGAAGTGATACCACACGTGAGTTTCGAAAGACTTGATTTGTGCAGTGTAATGACCTCCTGTTAGATTACCGAAGTGGTTAACTAAAGCGTAGAGGTCGTATTTACAACTCTGAGGAGACGGAAATAAAACAACGTCAACACATTTCGGAAATGTTAAATCAACAACAATTTGCTGCGGAAATAAATATAAATAGTACCTCTATGTGTAAGGTTTTGGGGACATCCACGTTGCAGTGAAGCTTCACGTAACACCTGCACTTGTAGTCAAAGCTGAATCTCTTCAGCAGGAGGGTCAAAATCTCTGGACTCTGTGTCATCTCACATTCCTGGACCACATAATGAAACGCAGAGTTACCCAACATACTTAAGACTTCAGTCGATCGAAATCAGGAGTCAGGAATTAGGTTTAACCTGCTGGAGTGAGATGCATCGATACGTATTGCGTTAAAAGGTCATATACTTATTGGGATCTACATAAGCCTTGTGAATACATTGTTATCAACGTAGGCTTATGAGAAATTATGTAAAAGTGTTCATGCAAACTAGAAAAGGGAAAACTTGAATTAAATGAATACTCACAAAGTCTGCATCTCGCTTTTTATCGCAGCGGCTGCAGTACACTTTGTTGTCCCCGCAGACCTTTTCTCCCTTAAAGAATGCCTTCAACCCATTTTCCTGTAAACATTGTATATGTATTCATCCTGCATGCATCTTTTCTTGTGCATGTCTGAAAAATACATAACTCTTATTTCGTCGTTAAAAGGAACGCGAAGTACCACGCTGTAGGTTTGACGACGCAAATCTTCCACCGCAAGCGGCAGAATCCAAAAAAAGCCCCTGGAATCGTTCCTCTCTTCGCACTTAAGGCATGTGGTCCTGTGATTCAGCTCTCCCTTGAATATCTAGACACAAAAAGGGGACACCACAGGTTCAATGGGTGCTGAGTAGCCTGGTAGTTATATTACACTGAAATTCTACTGTTTTTGTATCCTATAATCTCCTCCTGTAGACTTGAACACTTAAACCACTCCTGTAGCATAATCCACATCTCTAATCTCTCACATCTCTAATTCTTTATTCGTGATGGAATGTAACTAAGTATATTTACTCAAGTACTGAACATACAAATGTTTCTCACAATTTATCTTACAATTCACAAACCAAACAATTAATGGCTTGACCATGAAAATACTAGTAGTGATAATCTAATGACAAACGTTACAATATTATATAAAATATATCATTAGATATTAAAATGCTATCCATACCTTGGCTGCCGCTGGACTGGTCAAACTCAAAATCTTCTCAAAATATTCGGCTGCATCCCGTTGCTCGTATACTTAAAGTAGGAGAGAGGACAAACAGATCATTGTGAGCTTACATTCAGCTTCTCTGAGTCTGCAGGATATTCACACACAAGCAGCTGCAGCAGCAGTGTGATGTCTCAAATCCAAACTTACTCACCGTTTGTGATCCCCAGTGTTTCTGTGAGGTATTTTGTTTTCGCCGTCCTTTTCTGTAAATCAGCAAATAGTCTTCTCAGCTGTGGGTCAATGGTTGTTGAATCTTCACTGCAGCATCTGTGGCACAGTGAGAATGATACGTTACTTTATAGGAAGGAGTGAAGGTTATCCTAAAGTTCTTCTTTACGTATTTGTCTAACATACGCTACCGTAAATATGAAGCTGGACCCATCAGCAGGTTAGCTTAGCTTAGCATAAAGACTGGAAACAGGGGGAAACAATTTTTCTTACAATAACGTCATATCGGTGTAAAAGAACATACAATCTCAATTATTTGGCTAATTTTATACACATCAAAGGACGAGCAAGTTAAAAAGTCAGACTCACGTTAGGAAACAAGCGCACAAACCAAGAAAACAATACAAAAGAGACAAAAATGTATAAAACAAATAAATAGACGTATATACAGTTACTACTATTACATAATTATTATTGTCATCATTCATTCCACACCTTCAGCCTCCCTCAAACCCTTTTTACTAATTAGGGAACTTCATTCTGTTGCATTTGGACAGAGCCAGGCTAGCTGTTTCCCCCTGCTTCCAGTCTTTATGCTAAGCTAAGCTAACACCGCTGGCTCCAGCTTTACTATACAAACATGAGTGGTACCGCTCTTCTCGGCAAGGAACTATTCCTTTAACATACTGTAAAGATCTAAAAAAACATTTATTTGGGGTTTTCATTTGATCTGAACTGTTTAAAAATGTAAAAACAACCCAAAAGAAGCTGAGGTTACCAACCGTTTCACAGCCTCCCGGAAGTCTTCGGTCATGAACAGCACCTGGAGAACGCTGTTCAAATAGCATGTGAGACCTGGACTGTTCAGGCCATGGTAATCTAAAGACACAACAGAGACACAAGACACACAACTGCTACATGATCATGAAACTCAGAAGCGTATAAGACTCATTGTTTTTAATGTAATGTCTCTTACCTGAGATGGTGAAGTTGTCTAGTTTCTCTCTGAACATTTCAACGAGGTCATGATTCATAATGTCATTTTTAAGATTACCGGTTTGTTTTCCTGATGTACGGATTCAGCCTGCTGAAGCACATGAGATACAGCAGACGTTAAGAGACAGCAAGCAGGCCCAAGGCTAGTTTCTGAGGGTTTTGCATGTATTTTGATACAGTCTTATTAGCTAATAACGATGGCAGAGGAAATTGTTTTGAAATGTACTACTAATAATCCACTACTAATGTATACAGCGGATGTAAGTAGTGTTACTTTTCAGGTTTTTATTTTAAACAGGGCTACAACACATATCAGTCTTTAAAATATGACACTGTGATGATTATTAGAAAATAAACGTGCAGTAGTTTAATTTTTCATTAGCTCCTCATCAACTAGATATAAGACTATAAAGCTGCTTACACATTCATGCATCAGTGAGAATAATACAATAATACAACACTCTGAAAGAGGCCATTCTGCTGCAGAACAAGTACTTTTTTTATTTTGCTGCCAATACTTCAATAAATAAATAAAGTTTAGTTTCTACTCATGCACAATAGGAAATGCAGGACTTTTACTACATGTGGCATTTCTATACTGTGGTATTTATACTTCCACTTCAGTAAAAAGGCAGTATGGAAGCCCGACACGAACATCACAATAAGAAAGCAGATTCTAAATTTGCATGGCAGCTACATGGTGAAACTTCAACATAAAAAGGGAATTTCCAGCAAAAACAAACACAGCAATGAGTAAAACCCCAGTACATTAAACACGAGAACCAGTGAATGCAGCTGGTGCGTTTGGGTGTCATGGAAAGCCACGCAGCCTCTCGATCCTCCGTTACCAGCGACTACAAAATAAGTTTAAATAAGTCAGCGAAGACAACAATGAACCCACCGTAAAGCGGTAGCCACGTGCACACTATGACTCTCAAGGTACAATAACACACGGTGACTGTTTGTTTAAGTATGTAGTGCAACACGAAGGTACATACCGAGCAGCCCATCTGGTTATTCAGCTACGACCTTCTTTCACTTTCGATATCAACAAGAGGTTGAAGAGGGGGGGAGGATACTGCGACGGACAGACAGACAAGTGGGGAGAAAACACATACTTTACAAACAACTCACACCGACGATCAGACACAACAGACTGTCCGACTTCACCCAAATCACTGGGTTTGCATTTCATCTAAATCCTCCTGCAGGCTGTCGTTTCAGGCGTGGCTGTGTTGCTTCCGGTTGAGCAACATATCTAAAGAGAAGTCCTGAAAACAAAAAGTTAGATAGAGACGAACTATTCCTCCAAGGTAAGACATAACTTCTCTCCTAAACATCTCCTGTTAACGTGTGCCAGTTTAACTTCTGAACGTTTTATTCACAATGTGTCATTTGTGCTCCTAAATTAAAATGAACAATGTGTTTGTTCAGTGATGAGCAGCTTTCTGAAGGGGAAATACACGCATTGGCTTTGTAATTTACATATTCGGTGGTTTAAACTGTATTGATCCTTTATTTTTTGTGCATAATGAACATGTTTTGAGCCTTTCAACATTCAAAGTATGAACTTAAATGTTCCTTTAACAAGCTGTTGTCCCTACTGTGCTCTAAATACATTCATCAAGTAAAACATAAGTCAGCTGGAAATCCCCTGAGGGCCCAGCAGTGAGTCAAATTAATTCATACCAGCTCAGTGAAACTAAACTACTAACTTATTCAAATCTGAACACACATGACACACATATTTTTAGAGTCAGTGTGATTTGCTCTTCTCGGGGATGTCTTTATCTCCGATGTACATTATTAATGCCCATAAATCATAAACATAATGTCCCTTATGACTCCAGAACCTCCCTAAGAATGATCGCGTTTATACGTTTTTTTTCAGTATAAAAGTAATCCAGTGCTGGTTATTTGTACACTCGTGGGTGCATTGCAAACATGCACGACTAATACCTAATTCGGCATACTTTGAATGGTGCCAATATGCCAAAATGTAAACAAATAAAGGCTAGAAAATACTCAAGTTGTAGCCCACAGTTAGTCGTACTTCCTGTTTACATCCGTAAAAGCTCAAAATGTGAGCATGATGTCCCAAATCAACAAAGAACAATGATAAGAGTTCTATTGTAATATTATGTGAGCCATAGTAATATTTTGACATTAGGCTTTAAGGCTCATAATGTCCCATTGTTCTCATATATCAACCCCCTCAGATCATAATGATAGCTATATTATGACGTTGGGATACAGTGGTAATTTAAATCATAGTTAGTAACCATAGTGCCTGACCTTTTACCCCACGTTATAGGAGAATCAAAATGAGCATTCGGGGACAGGAACAGGTGGAGAAGAAGTACAACCCACATGACACCACCCTGAAGTTTGTCAACAGGAAGGACGACTTGGATCCAATGTGTGACGATGACGACGACTGTCTCAGGGCAGAGATGTCCTGCGGCCACGCGGTCACTCCTGAATCTCTAACAAATTGGTGTCGCAGCCAGCTGGACGAGGTATCTCATGTCTTTTCTTTTTTTATACATTTTAATTAAAGCAATGTGATCAAACTGGGAAGGAGACAGTAGGTATATAAAGACAGTTGGTAGCATCTTGCTTGTGTTACAGCAGTCAGACTGTGATGACAGCAGCATGTAATGTCAGAGTATTATCCTCAAAGAAACTGCACAGAGAATGTTTACTGATAAAATTGTAGTACATCAGTAAGACAACAGCATTTAAATGAGAGAACAAGCGATAAATTGTTCTGGTTCATCGTCTATTTAAGTAAAATATCTTATGAGCCCTGCAGTGTTGCTGATATTCCTTAATTTGTATGGTTTGTATATGCCTGTCTCTATCCAGCACATGAAAATAACTTCAGAGGTGAACATGCTTCCTGTTTTCTGACATCCTGGACCGCCTCTTCTTCTTCTCTTTGTTGCTTTAAGGGTATTTACAAATTCAAATGCCCTGCACTGGTGGAGGATTACAAACTGTGCAATGAACTGTGGTCGTACCAAGAGGTGCGCAGGCTGGCCGATTTGTCCTCTGAGGAAATGCAGCACTTTGAAGATACTATGGCTCGCCTGGCTGCTGCAGAATACTGTGATATTCAGACAGTAAGTGAGCCAGGTTGTTTTGAATGTTGACTATTTTTTGATTTGGATATTTAAAATGACATGAAGTGCACTGATCTTCAAATCTTCCTGTTCAATAATCAGTGCCCGCGGTGTAAAACGAGTGTGGAGAGGAAGGATCTCTCCAACCTGTGCGTCCGCTGCACCGTGTGCACAGCCGATCGGAAGAAGGCCTCTGACTTCTGCTGGCAGTGTCAGGGGAAGTGGAAAGGTCCAGGCCCTCGATCCGACCGCTGCGACAACCACGGCTGCATCAACAGGGACCTGCAGCTCCTGCAGACGTGCAAGACCATCGATCTGCCCGCGGTGAAGGGGGTCACCAGCTGCCCCTCTGTCCGAGTCTGTCCTACATGCGGCATGAAGGTGGAGCACAGCCAGCAGAACTGCAAAAATATCAACTGCCCTCGCTGCCACGTTGAGTTTTGTTTCGTCTGCCTGAAACTAAAGCGAAAATGTAGTAAGACCAGTTCACCATACCAAATCTGTCCTCGTGGTGTGGCTCCTAGGCAGACCTCTATCCCGGTGTGGAAGAGGAAATGACAAACAAACAGATGCACAATGAACAATTTAATAGATTTTAGTTTAAATGTATCAATAGTACATTACTCTGTAAATATTAGTTGATATACACAAAATGTGACAAATACGCTATAACTCCAAAAGTTCTTGTGGAAGAACTCTGCCTCCTTCTGGATGGACTTTAACTTTAACTTTAACATTACAAGAAAGTGTTTTATTGTCCTGTGAACGCCAATCACCATTAAGCTACTGAAAATGTTGCTAACAGATTATATACTGTATATACAAAGTTACATTTCTTGAAAGGACTTCACTTAGATTTCAGAATGTATTTAGAAACCTGATCATTACTCAATAAAATCATTCCAATTCATGCGCTGTCTTTGTTTACATTTACAATGTTCTTACTATTATGACACAACAAACTTTGAAATTCCAGTATCGCTCTATTCCAAGAGCTATAATCAAAATAAAATAAATGTTTGAAATTTTCAAAATGTCTATATTTCAAATTCATTCAAACAGATATGATGTACATCAGTGTGTTTAAAGGTTTAACATCAGGATCAAACAAAATAAAACATTCTCTGATCACTATGACAATATATAAACAACCTCACAACTAACTACAATATGCATGTACACTTGATTGGAAATGTATATATTTCTGTGATTTCGTGCTCCCAGTTTTTGGGTGTATAATTTACATCTAATCAATATATTGCAGTTCATCCGTGTGGTGGCAACGGAAATGCTCTGAATTCCGTATTGAGCGTATTTTAGCTACCGAAATTAAAGTCATTAAAGCATGCAACTCTGAAATAGGAAATTCATTTTTATGTGTTGCAAGTTATTACTGTAAAAGCAATGTTGAACTAAATTAAATGGAGTATTATTTAAAGAAAAACATTCTGGTGCCACAGTCGCAAAACTAAAAATATTTCTTGATGCTTTGAGCAAAAATCTGCAAAAGTTTAACAAAAGAAAAGCAACAACAAAAAATACACTTGACTGTTTTCTAAAAGCACATTTGTGTTCATAGGACAACATGTCAAAGAAAGACCAAGAGGTTGTGAGCTTCTTTGGGCAATCATCCCACGTCACATCAAATATGGGTTCCATACAGGATTAAGTTAAGGGGTTTATTTTTGCAATTATAGAACAGATATATACAGAATATAGGTTTTTATATTTTTTAAAGGGATGATTTACTTACTTTGGTTTTTGCTCTTTTTGTCACCCAGATTCCAGGATGCAACCACATTCATGAATGAGTAAGCAGAAGTATCGTGTGATTGAAAGATCAATTAAGTTTAGTGTTTTTTTGTGGTGAATGCTAGCATCCCCAAACTGAAGGATTGAAGGATGGATTTGACTGTAGGTACGAGCAATGACCAGAAGGTGGCGCCATTGTAAAGGAGTTTAAATGGTACTGTAGATGTATTTTATGTCCTGACAGTGAATATGAGCACCAACACCTCAGGATGTGGAAGTTAACTGTATTGCTGTCAGTTTGAGTCACACGGTTCTAGTTTTGAACAATAAAACATTTATTCAGAATACAGCTTTCTCTCTCTTTAGTATGAAATCAACAGATTTGTTTCTGTACATCTCTACATTTCAGAGGGAAATACTCATACAAAACATTAGAGCAGTTTATAAAATATGAAAGTAAAGCAGTTAAAATACCACACTTCACAACATTTAAATACTATGTACAATGTTTAAATTGTGGAAAGAAGTAAGTGATTCTCATGTGGTCTGATAATTTAGTAAAAGTACATAAAAGCATGAACAGTTATTGAAAGAAGGTATGCGATTGAGTTCGTGTCTGAGAAGTAACAGTTATGATAATTATAAGAACCTTTAAAAGAAAGGTTGTAAGGTTGTAAAGGTTGTTAAATCAACAGATTCATGTCCTCTGCCACACGGGTATAGAGGTCTGTCTCGGTGCCACACCACTAGAGCAAAGCTCGTAATGTGAAGAGGGCTTTAATCTCAGACATTCTTTAGTGAGCTTCAGGCACACAAAACAGAACTCCACTTTACACCGGCCACAGACAACGTTTTTACATTTAGTTCTGTTATGCTCCACCAGCGAACCACAGGTGGGACATGCCCGGACGGAGGGACAGCCAGTGACCCCCCTCACATCCTTAAAGGTGATGTCAGGGCAGCTCTTCAATATTTCCAGTGGGTTATGGCAGTCATCATTTCCACAGTCTCCTAACCAAGTCAGACCTCTCCATTCCTTCAAACACTGCCAGCAGAATGTATAAGTCCTTCCTCTTTTAGCCGTGCACACTGTGCATTGGACACTCTGATCGTTGAGGTCAGTTCTCACCACACGGGACTTGCAACCAGGACACTGTTACATGAAGCAGGAGAAAGTTTAAAAAACGTATCCCATTTGTTTCTAATGCACAAATACGATTTGTAATTGTAAATATAGCTACTTACAAATTTGATGTCCAAGAAATCCTTGGCATTTTCAAAAATTTTCTTATTAAATTCCTCAATTTCTTCGGGGGTCAGAAGGGCCATTTTACAAACCTCCTCGAAGGGCCACTCAACATCACAGCCAGTTTGTCCGCACACAAATTCGCAGCCACCCTTAAATATTATAAAGGAAATCAAAGAAAAGCATTATAGAGCAAAAAAAGCTTATTATGTTGCATCTAGCAATCAGTTATTAACAACATCAATTCCTTCATTTCATTTCTTTCTTCTATGTCAGGTATAAGGCCAGAGGAGCTGCCTATTATTAGGAATTAAGTATCATAAATTGATATTCTGCAATAATACAACAAGCCAATGTTGGCATTTTGTCGAGGGAACCGGTGCGACGCTAACTTCCGGGTTGGCCTCCAAAATACCGCATAACCTGCAGCATTATAACTCGCATTGTGTCTTTTTCCTTTACTATTAAAACTATAATACATTTTTTTACACACGCTCCAGCGATATGTTGTCAGAGAAGTTAAGTCACTAAGGTGTATTTACCTACAAGGTGTGTTTCGTGATAAAGGTGTCTTTCGTGATAAAGGTGTATTTCATGATAAAGGTGTCTTTCGTGATAAAGGTGTATTTCGTGATAAAGGTGTGTTTCGTGATAAAGGTGTATTTCGTGATAAAGGTGT